GGAACACATCAACGGGCAGCACTTGTCAACGATCGAAATTTGCAGAGTGTGAGAGTGTCTGCACTCAGAGAGTCAAGAATGATGGAGGAAAGAAGCCGAGCGTCACTGTTGATTGTGATCAAAAGTTTCGAGTCATCCATTGTCATCTGGCTCTCCTCCTGTTTTCCTCTTAGACTCCTCTGCCAGAAGTCTGGCCAGAGGCAAATGGAAAACAAATTCTGGAGCAAAACTCAAGGCTATTGCCTCACTGTTGGGGTTATCTTCACTATCTTCCGCACGACGGTGCTTAGTAGGTCACGGTGCTCAAACAATTTTAACTTACCTAAATGGCCAATTATACAGATGGCATGCAAAATGAAAGATGTGGCCCAAGTCGTGAGATTGAAGTCGTCAACGTTTCGGTTGTGGGGGAGTCAGCGATCAAGATCCTGGCTGATGGTTTTACGAGGTCAAGATGTTACACGTCATGTGCAAAGCCAATGGTCAGAATTTGCTGGGTACTCACGAGTCGCGGAATTACTTTGAGCAAAGTTGAACACAAGGTCCATCCTTTCCGTAGATTTCGCAATAAGTTGTGACAAACCATCTTCGTTCAGCATTCTGAGCGTCCATTTTGGTGTTGTCCGCAATACGACCGAGTCCTAAGAAGTATCACAGTCGTTTTTGGATACCATCCATTCTATCTCATTTTATGTATCATCGTGATCATCATTCACGATGTTTCATAAACCTCAACGCACAATCCTCACAATTCAGCTCTTGCGCCCATTGCCCATCCTTCCTAACAGTGGATCATGTACAGTAGCTTTGTAGTATGCACCCCTCCACCGGAACCAGTCCATAAACATCGGTGAGCTTCTTACTTCCAAGTTCCAATCCATTGCTCGGGCGTTCACAAGATATTGGAAGAAGTCTGCAGAAACCTCACGTAACCCCTAACCATGTTGAATACCCGAGAGACAACCACCCCGTTGTTCAAATTCCTGTGAGCAGTACGGAATCAATCTTACTTTTGAACACTGGTCCTTGGAAGGATGACCATTCTGCTTTTCCCATAGCCGGTTCACGCCTTTTAATCACTACAACTTTCGACACTCCCAAGCCTGTTACAACCACGATGCCCCACATTATATTTGGGCCCACTCTTACAGTAACCCCATCTTATGAACCATTCATTCTACCATCTGTCACTAAGTCTATATCACCGTCATCACATACCAGCACATCCTTTTCATCGTCGACAGACACCACAGTGATATCGCTACAATCTTCTTCACCCCCCTCACAATCCGCAACAGCCCGAGCAAATTCAAAAGGAGCACCCATAACCTTGATAGCAGGCATCATTGTTGCTTTCCTGGTTTTGGCTTTTCTCGCAGCTGGGGTTATTTTCTACATCAGGTGGTCTCGAAGGAAAACTCATAGTGAGTCTAGACCTGGCTTGAAGAGTTTTTTTTGGCAGCACATTGATAGCATTCCAGGCAGCCAGCACCTCGTACCCAATCCGTTCGCCATCCAACATGAGCAACTAATTCACGTCAATGAGAACCAGCATTTTATGCATCTTGGCGCCTCACAGCAAGCCGGGAGTGACGGTAGCTTATCTGTGCCTTTGACTGGAACGGCGGCTGCACACATTCACAACCACGAGGAGGTTCGCTCTGCTATTGTTGCTTACAACCCCCCGGTAGAACAGAGAAAACCTCGACATATATTTGCACGTATGGCAAACAAACAAGCCAAAGGCCAGAAGCATTTACCTGTGGATCCCCCCGTCCAGGAAGACATACCCAATACCGACGAGATGGCGAGCTCAATTATGCCAGTATCCTCTCCACCAGCACAAGGTATGCAAACAGGGGATGCTGCATCAACAAACATTGTTCTGATACCAGCTTCAGTGAATGGCTTTGTAGATCTGCAACGAGAGGTGGAGATACTGCGCCGCGATATTGAGGAGCTGAGGCAATTGGGAGCAGAGGCTCCGCCTGCGTATACGGGTAGTGTCCATCGGATGACAACATCTACCCGATAGTAATACTAATATGGCTACCTCTGTGGTATCTACAATTGATTGGGCCTCACAAGTCAAATTTTACGGGGTTCAGTGGTCAGCGGTCAAACCGTCATTAAATTTATATAGCTTCTAAGATACGGCCTGTAGATTACAGGGCAAGCAAATGACAAGTGATTGACGTAGAAAGGTTTTCTGCTGGATGTTAGATCCATCATGCAGCAATAGGTTTTGTCTACCCACAATCACTGAGTTAAAGGTCCTCAAAACGAAATACAGTAGTCACTTTGTTTGAGCAGTCTGAGGAAACCACTTGGACTTTTCCTTTGGCACAAGCGAGAATTCTTTGAGCTAGGCTAGTCACAGCAAGACGGAGATGGGGCAAAGGCAAACAAGCAGTCTCCACAATGCCTTTGAGTCTCCTCTTTCGGTAGAAAAAGAAATGGTTGTGAGTTCCGGTACGGGGAATCGAACCCCGAGCTGCCGCGGACTTCGCTAGAGATGAAAGGCGGCAATGTTAGCCGTTACACCATACCGGATGGACTGCTGATCGATACATTAGTTTTTGATGGAGGCATTTAGTGAGGGGGACTCGGGTGGTTCTACACCCTTCGTCTTAAAATACCCCAGAGACGCGCGCATTACTTGTGATCAATCTTCGGTGTCACCTTGGTCATTCCCACTTACGCTTCCCCTCCTCAGCGGTCTTTCTCAGGCAACCATCGATCGGCCGCGAGCTCTGGCT